TGGTTGCCGGGCGTGGTGGCTCAAGCCTGTAATCCCAGCACTTTGGGAGGCCGAGGCGGGTGGATCACGAGGTCAAGAGATCGAGAGCATCCTGGTCAATATTGTGAAACCCCGTCTCTACTAAAAATACAAAAAATTAGCTGGGCATAGTGGCGCGTGCCTGTAGTCCCAGCTACTCAAGAGGCTGAGGCAGCAGAATTACCTGAACCCAGGAGGCGGAGGTTGCGGTGAGCCGAGATCATGCCATTGCACTCCAGCCTGGGTAACCATAGCGAAACTCCGTCTCAAAAAAGAAAAAAAAAAATACTGGTGGTTAAAAAATACCAGCGGTTCTCGGTGCAGAGTAGATGTGACTGGGTCCCCTTTTGGTCAATGTTTGGAGCTCCGGGAAGGCAGAGTCGCCTATTCAGCTGATTGAAGGACGGACTCAAGAAGGAAGCCAGACCGGAGATTCCCGGGCAGAAAAGCACCATCAATTTTAAGGCTGCTGTTTTAGCCGGCGCAGTGGGTTGCTCAGATTCCAGCACTGGGAATCAACAAGTTGGACGTCCACTCAGAGACCTAATTAGAAAGCCAGTAATTACAAAGACGACAGATGGATAAATTTATAATGATGGGAAGAAACCAGCCTAAAAATGCTGTGCATACCCCAAATCAGAATGCCTCTCCCTCTACAGGGGATCACAGTTCCTCATCAACAAGGGAACAAGGCCTGATGGAGAACGAGTGCGTTCCGTTAACAGATTTAGGCTTCAGAAGGTGGATAAGATACTTCTGTTGAGTTAAAAGAACATATTCTAACCCAATGCAAAGAAACTAAGAACTTTGAAAAAAGGTTTGACGAAATCCTAACGAGAATAGACGAATTAGAGAGGAATATAAGTGAATTGATGGAACTGAAGAATACAATGCGAGAACTCTGCGAAGTATGCACAGGTTTTAACAGTCGAATTGATCAAGCAGAGAGGATATCAGAGGTTGAAGACCAACTTAATGAAGTGAAACGAGAAGACAAGATTAGAGAAGAAAGAGTAAAGGGGAATGAGCTTAAGTCTCCAAGAAATGTGGGACTATGTAAAAAGACCTAATTTACATTTGGTAGGTGTACCTGAATGTTATGAAGAAAATGAATCCAAGCTGGAAAATATTCTTCAGGATATTATTCAGGAAAACTTTCCTAACCTGATAAAGCAGGACAATATTCAACTCCAGGTAATGCAGAGAACACCACAAAGATATTCCTCAAGTAGAGCAGCTCCAAGACACTTAATCGTTAGATTCACCAGGGTTGAAATAAAGGAGAAAATTCTAAGGGCAGCTAGAGAGAGGGGTCGGGTTGCCCATAGAGGGAAGCCTATCAGACTCACAGCAGATCTCTCAGCAGAGACCCTACAGACTAGAATAGAGTGGGGGTCAATATTCAGTATCCTCAGAGAAAAGAATTTTCGACCCAGAATCTCGTATCCAGCCAAACTGAACTTTATAGATGAAGGAAAAATAAAATTTTTCACGAACAAGCAAGCACTCAGATTTAACCATTATCAGGCCTGCTTTACAAGAGCTTCTGAAAGAAGTGCTATACACGGAATGGAACAACCAGTATCAGTCATCCCAAAAACTTACCAAAGGGTAAAGAGTATCTCCATAATGAAGAATCTATATCAACTAATGGGAAAAATAGCCAGCTAGCATTAAACGACAATATTAAACTCACAAATATCAATATTAATCCTAAATTTAAATGGATTAAATGCCCCAATCAAAGACACAGAAAGGAAAATTGAATAAAAAGTCAAAACTCATTGGTACGCTGTATCCAGCTTCATTTCATAAGCAAGGACACACAAAGACTCAAAACAAAGTTTTGGTGGAAGACTTACCAATCAAATAGAGAGAAAAAAAAAACCAATTGTAACTCGTCTCTGACAAAATAGACTTTAATCGTAACAAAGACTAAAAGAAACAAAGAAGGACATTATATAATGGTAAAAGGATCAATACAACAATAGGAGTCAATGATCATAAATGTATATGCACCCAATACAGGAACACCCAGATACATAAGACAAGTTCTTAATTAATTATAGAGACTTGGACTCCCGCACAATAATAGCGGGAGACTTGACACCACATAATATTCAATGGATCAATGAGGTAGAAAATTAACAGGGACATTTATGATTTGATCTCAGACCTGCAACAAGTAAATTCAGTGAATATCTATAGAATTCTTCATCCCAGGTCCACAGAACATACATTTTTCTCAGTATCACATTACACCTATTTTGAAAGTGACCACATAATTGGAAATAAATCATTCTTCAGCATTTGCATAGTATTTCACAAACTTAAATGAAATATTGATTGGCTGTTTGTTTGTTATTTTCTTACCTTATTCCTTCCTGTCTCTGCTGATAAGTACAATTATCGGCATAAAAGAGGTTTTTTTTTTTTTTTAAAAAGAGTCATTGCAAGTTTGATTGCAATAGCAAAAGACAGAGAACAGCGTACACATCAATCAATAGGAAATTGGTTAAGAACATCGAACATCTATAGAATGAAATAATCTGCACCCAGAAAAGTAAGAGAGTAGACATTCCTGCACCGAAGCAGTCTTTATCCCAAGATTAGGGCTGGGTTAGGATGTTACAGACCCCAGGGGCTAAAAAGATTAAGGTACCCTGTCCCATCCCACAGACATAGACATATACATATATATATTTATATATATATATATAAAATGTCTAAAATTAAAAGAAATACTGGTGGATGGGTCTTACTCTCAGAGATTGATTTAGTTGATTTGGAGGTGCAGCTGGGGCATTAGGATTTTGTAAAAGCTCCCCCAAGTGATTCTAAGATGCTGCTAAGGTAGAGAACCACTGTAGGCCATTATTGAGACTTTGGCTTTTACTTTTAACTATAAAACTGATTCAAATTGTTTGAAGCAAGTTGTGATATAACTCATAGATTTGTATCAGTTTAAAAATGTACACTTTTCACACTTTGGCCAAGGATTATCTTTTATTTTCTATGCTTCATTAGTTGTCTTTCAGTTTTCACAGTTCACCTTTGTCTCCTCTTTTCATCTGTTTCTGCTTATCATCTTTAGCTTCCTTCCTCTTCCTATATCTACATGTCTACGGTTCTTTAATTTCTGGACTTCAGTTTAATTAATGGAACTTGAAATACAGCATTGTATAAAAAGAGTTTTAAAAAGACATTTGTATTTGTCTGATCTGGGCTTCTTAGTCCAGTGACTGACAAAGCAAAATTGCATGAAATTTACGTTTTCTTCTTCTTGTAATTTAAAACTTCGTTCTTGTATACCTTCCTGGAACTTTATACTTTTATATCTTTCCACTGTTTCTTTAAGACTTCATATACAGGGTGCAGTAATAGGCCTTTTCCTTTTTTTATATTAATCAGAACAGTTGCTGAAAATGCATTTAAATTCACATTTAAATGTGAATTTAATGGACATTATATCCCACACAAAAAATATTACTTTGACATGTTTAGAAAAAAATATGCCTTTAATTTCTTTGTAATTTGTTGAGTTACATGCAAGTAACTTTTTTTCCTTCTCTGTCTTTTGCTGTGTTTCAACGGATTTGCCTCTCCTGTTTGGACTGAATATATCATTACAATTCTTGGAATTCTTTGTTTACTGTTCCTCTGTGGATTTCTTCTGTTGGAATCTGGAACACTGGAATGATGGAAATGTGTTCTTTACAAAGTAGCTGTGAGTATACTACATAATTTATACAGAGATTATTTTCAGTCTCAGTGAACTTAAATTTAACTTAAAATTGGATGATATATGAGTCAAGGAAACCTTAGGTTTAATACATATTTCTAACTTTACTCATAGCAGATTTTCATATATTTGACTTAAAAATATTGGATTCTGTTTAGTCTCCTAATCATTGTTTACAGTTAGCTTTTCATTTTAATGGGCTTAGTTTTTTAAATTTGGCTTAAGAGTTTTATGAATGAACAAAAGGGCAAAAGATTATGGATGGAATATTTAGCTATATTATTAGTCAACATTGTAGACTTCTGTTCTTTGTTAAATCCAGGTGTATTGAATTGATGCTTTGATCTCATGAGTGTTTTTTAAATGAGAATTTAAATGTGGCAGAAACTTTTAAAAGAGTGTGTGCCTCTTTTTGCTATTATTGTTTAATGTTGAAATAAGACTACCTCTAAAGTAAAATTAACCAGTAAGACTGCTTATTTAGATAGTTTATAGCAATGGACAGTATTTCTCACCCATGGGTAAGTTAAAAATCAGACTTATTTACTATACCAATTTGGAAGTAGATTTCTTTGAAATATACTCATGAAACTATTGTTGAGGTCATCTAAGAATCAAAAACCAATAGAAAATGAAGTTATAATTTACTTTCAAACCTGGATAAGCCTGAAAATAAAAATCATGTAAAACCTTGAAGTGACATAATGGACCTGTAGCTGGTTGACACTGATCACAGGAGCCTTCAAGAATTTATTTTAAAAAATTGATTTAAATTCAACATTTTGATTTCATTTCATGAAGAAGACGACAAATTTCAACAATCTCATACCTGTGGTAATTAGTGTGATCAAAGGAGATAATTAAAAAGGGTTCTTAATATGATATTAAGGGGATTTGAATTTTTTTATTGTGAAAAGTTTTTTGTTATTTTGTTTTTTTAGTTGGTTGGTCAATCATCTTGTCACTAACTTAACTGTCAATTGAAATCTTTGCTCTGAGGCAGGTTTCTTTAATGTTTATTTTATTCCCTTGGATTTTTATAATTAACCATTATATTGTCAGTCAACTCATGCTTAAATAATTTTGTCTATTATTTAGTAATTAATTGGTAGTTTTATTGACAATGCCATAGAAGTAGTTTGTATAATTTTCTAAAATAGGTTAATGGAGGGATTTTGAAGTGTAAGGCAGAACAGCATTGCTGATACATGAATAACTTGGCCCTGTTTGCTTTTGTCAGCAACAGAAGAACCTTGAAGGCTATGTGGGATTTGCCAATCTCCCAAATCAAGTATACAGAAAATCAGTGAAGAGAGGGTTTGAATTCACGCTTATGGTAGTGGGTAAGATACAGTTTCTTACTAAAATGGAACTTTGGTTTAAGTTTTAAACTGTTAATCAACTCTGAACAAATTTAAGAAAATACTAGCACAGATATCTATAGTGATCATATGTTATATTTTCTCTTATATGCATACATTTTAAAATTTAACTCAGCGGTATAATGGGATTTATGTCTTCTTGTGTCTTTTTTAAGACAGAAACTAAAAGTTGAGAAGTGGTAGATAATAGTGTTGGAGCACTGGGGAAGTTATCGTCAATTGATAGTGCTACAAAAGAAAATAGCATCTGGTGGTTGCTTATTACTCCAGTATAGTTTTGTTTTCTGGCTTATATGCTATAGTGGAGTATCATATAAGCATTTAACATATTGTGCCCTGAATTTGGAAAAGTTGGGATAGAGGATCATAATAATGCAATTATTGAATCATAATGAATGTAAGCACTGGGTGAGTAAAACATGACTGTCCTCATTCTCTAATTCAGTCTCAGTTTTCTTTTGTGTTTTATCCCATGAACATCTTACCCTGCCTGTAGTCCATCTGAAGATAGTGTTAAGGATAATTTTGACTGTAGGTTGGTAACATCATTATTATATATGAAGAAACATACTGTGCCTTTACCATATGAAAGATTAGTAATCTTCAATAACAGTCTTATTGTTAAATGACTATACAGTATTTTCACCTCATATAGGTTGATTTTAGAACCTAAGTTATGAATATTGTATAGTGCAACTTGGTTGTATTTCTCTATTACTTGTTTTAAGAAGGTGAATTGCAGGGTAGTGGATTAGCTGTCTTTAAGGGAGAAAATTGAGTTGATGTTGGACCTTTTAGGTAGTACACAATTTTGTTAATTATATTTTAATGTTTGGTATTTTTATCTTAGTGCTGAATTAGGTTAATTGAACTAGCTGTGAAATACTCCTTATTGGGTGGTAGAATATTTTATTTACTGACTGCAGTATTTTACCTATTGGTCAGTTGGTGGCTGTTTGGAAGTTGTATACGTTGTAATAGTTCACATTTAAAACATGGTACAAAATTTGGAAATTTCATACTTTATTATAGAGTTGGTTTTCTTCTCTATGTATCTCCTGCTAAGTAGAAGTATAGTATATCTAGCTTGCAAACTGCTGCTCTAGAGTAGAGGTGGGTCTAGATGGAGGGGTAAAATAATGCAGAGCATACCTTTTCTTCTGCAGTTTGCTAACATCATTGTATGAGGAAACACTGAATCTTACCTTTACATATGTAACAGTAATAATCTTAAGTGAAGAACTGTAGACAAATATTTTTCACTTATGAGAAAACCTCATAGGTCCATTAGGAGAACTGTAGCAAATTAAAAAATTTCTTTTGACATTAGAATTTTAGTTTAAAGAATAACTCTTTGAACATTTCCTTAGTGGGATAATGTCTGGTGATCAAGGACGGAGATGATTTAAAATCTCTGTGGCATTTTTCCAAATGGAAAAAAAATGGAATACTCAACTGATTTTGATTTTTAGAGGAAAATATTTAATCTCTACATGTACATTACTTACTAGCTTTTCTAATTAATCCCTTTGTGAAATTCAGCTTTTCTTTTTTCTCTTCCTAATGATAAGACTTCAACTGAGGCTAAAGAAAAGTAGGTGTTAATATCCGTACTCTGTTTTCCCACTGAGCATGGAACGTTGTTTAACTACATTTGAATAGATGTGTTGAGTACAGATATTAAATCTTTTCATCTATATAGCTGTAGTGGCTAACACGTAGTCACTTTTTAAGTAAGTATCTAATACGTTGATTTATTTTATAGGTTTTAGGCTGAATCTAACAGCGACGTTTGCAAATCATAGAAAGCTAAAACCAACCTTGCTTTAATATTCATGACTTAAAAACTTCAAGCTATTCCTTATCAGCTAAATCCTCATTTTTGAGATCTAAACTCAGAATAAATTTGGCTCCCACGTTACAACTCTTTGTTTACAATTTATACGTTGATATCAACTGAGAATCTATAACAGGTTTTTTTATAATGAAACTCTTTGTACTTTGTTGGAAAACCTTTATCTAATAATCTTGCTTCATAAGCAATATTTACTGAGTAGTTACTTGAGTGACTTATTTGTATGGAAGAGGCATGCTGTGTATTCCCATACTTTCTCTCTTAAAGGAGCTTCTGATTTATATGACAAGATAAACCACATAAAAATATGAGTCAGTAGAATCATACAAAAGTTAAGAGCCATAGAAGTTTAATGGTATAGGAGAGTTTGCCTTTGGTTAGAGATTTATAATTGCTTTCTTTTGAAAAGGGAGGCATTAGGACAGATTTTTGAAGGATAGAATTGGAGCCAAGATTGAGGGAGCAGTCCAATTGGGGGAAAAATAGACAACATTTACGTAACGTTTTATGTACCAGGCAATGTTTTAAGTACTTTATATACATTATCTACTAACTGACAATTCGTAACAACAGTCCTATGAAGTAGATATTGTTATCCCATTTTGGAGATGAAGAAACCGAGACATAAGGAGATTAGGTTACTTTCCCTTGGTTATATTACTAGCAGATGGCAGAACCAAATCCAGTCTGCTGCTCAGTCTGGTATGTTCTTAACCACCATGCAGAGGCTCATTTGGGGATACTGGATATAGTGCAGTGTTTATAAGAGTACATCCAGTATGCCTTGAACTTAGATGAATTCGACTAGATGTTCTTTTTTCCCTAAAAAAATGAAAGAGAGAATGAAGGAGAATGAGAACTAGAGAACCTAAATAGTACTAGTAATTTTTCCTGTTAGTCCACTGGAATGGGCATCTGGCCTAGAGTGGGTATGAAGTGGGAGAGTTACATTTGCTGTTCCCCTAGTCATTATCAGCTTCCACATAGTTTGATAGTGTGAACATCTCACTTTGCTGAAAGTCTGGGGGACAACAGGGCACCTAAACACAAACCAGTCACTTTTTATGTGCTCAAATAAACAGTTACTGTTTTAGTGCAGGAGGAAGATATGTTGTTAGCTTGTATATAATTGTGCTTTTTGGATGATATAAGTAATTTTTAAAGATTTTTCTCACAGCACACTGACTTTAGGATCTGATCCCTGAGATGTAACTTTACAGTTAGAAATAAGGCTGGAAAGGTAGACTCTCCAGGATTTTGGAGACCTGCTTGGCAATTTGATGGGGAGATTAGAATTCCTGATTTTGAATCTTTAAAAATTTAGGCACATCACATAATGAAGATATGTAGGTCTCTATTCAGTGAAGTTGTCTAACCTGTTTGGCTTGAAACTTGACTGTCATTAGTGTGATTCCTAATTAGACTTAACTATGATAGAGAATAAAATTTTAATTGTAATATCCTGTTTTTACTAGAAATGTTCAAGGAGGCAGAACTCAGAAGGCTGTAGATTGCTTTATCTAATTTGAAACATTTTTTAAAACAGGTAGTATTAAACCTATTATTCTGAATTCTAGGAAGATAGAATCCAAAATTCAGTCATTTCGGTAATCTTGAACTTGCAAAATTTTTGTGATACAGAATCTTAAAAATGTAGTGATATGTCAGTAATATATTTGACACATGCTACATATCTTTAGTTGCAGATTGGCATTTCTGGTTTTTTTTTCTAGTGGGAGAGAGCTTAGAGCATGTTGGTTTAGCCATTTTTTGGGATTCAGATTTTATCATAATTTTTTTTGTATGTGACTTAACAGAGAAAGTTTAGGAGGTATTTAGTTAGTGACAGGATATACTTTGACTATCCTAGTTGTCATTTCCCCCCACTACCTGTTGATGTTTGAATTGATAGAATAATATCTACATCAGTTTATGAGGTTATTTGAAAAAATTGAAAGATAACATTGGCTCATTTTGTAGGTAGGCCTATGAGCATTTTGTGGTATTTTTAAGATGTTGGCTCCTTGAAATGTTTTGAGTTAATGATTTTAAATTTTTTCCTGGAGCTCTGTGTTTTTATTTTGCTTTTAATAATAGATGTAACTTAACCAATGATGACTTCACAACATTGGGAATATACTAAAAACCACTGAATTATACACTTGAAAATGGTGAATTTTATCTTAAAGTAATTCAAAGAGAAAGTTTAGAAGAAAAAGAAAATCACATAATTCCACATATCCACTGTTTTAATTTTGTGCATTCCTTCTACTGTTAGCTCTGTGTATCTTTTAAAGCACTTAAAAAATAAAGTTAATATATTTCATTGCAGAAATTGAGAAATGCAGAAAAGCAGAAAGAAAATAAATATTCATTTTATCTGTCATCTGTCACCCATTGATAACTCTTTAGTATAGGAACATGTAGTATTCTTGTTTATATGTATCTGTAATGTTCTATGATTGCCTTTTAAATTTGCAGTTAAACTGTGATTATCTTTTAATATCTTATATTCTTTCATAACCTATCTATTGGTCAAATTGTAGACTTTAATGGGCTGTATAGGTTGACTATATCATACTTGATCATATTGTCAAGACAGTTAAAGTTGCTAGCTAGTATTAATACTATAATATGGTTATAGTTATATCTTTGCTTGTGTTTTTAGTTATTTTTTTAGAATAATAAAGTTTTGGAAGTTTGAATGGCTATGTTTATTAAGATTGATGCACTGTTTTAAAGGTTTTGATACAAAATACCAAATTGCCCTAAAGCGGGTTGTGTACCATTTTGCACACTCCCCAAGTGTTGACAGCACCTTTTTTCCTGAATACTGCCAACACTGGATATTAATCTAAATGCTAAAGCGTGGTATATATTTTCATCTGTATTTTATTGTTGCTGGTTATTTTATTCATTTTTTGAGACAGAGTCTTGCTCTGTCGCCCAGGCTGGAGTGCAGTGGTGCAATCTCGGCTCACTGCAACCTCTGCCTCCCAGGTTCAGGCAATTCTCTTCCCTCACCCTCCTGGTTAGCTGGGACTACAGAACTGCAGCACCATGTCCAGCTAATATTTGTATTTTTAGTAGAGATGGCGTTTGAACT